ATTCAAATTCTTTACATAAAGTAAAACAAATTTACATTATTTGTGGGCACTATTCATATCCTGGTGTGGTCTCCTGGTGTGGTGCTGTTGGTTAATGCTGGACTGCAAAGTTGGTTTGAACCTCAAGGTCAACAGTTCAAGCTCACCAACTGCTCCTCTGAAACACTATACAGGGTTGCTGTGGGTCAGAACCAACTCGATGGCACTTAAGAATAACAATTCATATCCTGGTGTGGCGCTGTGGATAAGCACTAGATTGCTAACAACAAGGTAAGCAACTCACACCCATGAGCTGCTCCTCTGGAACCCTATACAGGTCTCTGTATGAGTCAGAACTGATTCAACAGCATATAACAAGAGCATTCATAGTTTTTACTTGTAATGTGCAGAGAGCACATAGGATTAATATGAAAGGAGCTCGTGTGTTTTGAAAAATTCATATAATGCACACATTATTTGCATAAAAGACTATACCTGCTTTAGTATCCTACCTGATGTAGAAACTCTCTTGTCTTTGCACAATAATCTCTTCCACATATTCCCCTGCCTCTACATTCAGGTTACAATTGACTCTTTTATTTCTTTTTCTTTACATTTCAGTCTAACAGTAGCTGCTACATTTCTGTCTTCTTAGAAATGCACAATTTTATTTGTTTCCTCAGCATTAAAAAATTGCAGGCTTACAGTCATAAAGTTTAAGAATGTTGGCTATTGTAGAAAACATAAAAACTTTATAAATTATGATTAGCAAAATTTATTACTAAAATTTTGAATGCATAGTATCAAAACCAGAATTAACAAACCACATATAATTTCTGGAAACGTTCTTCTTGCCTCATCTTTGTAAATAAAATTGGGCATTTATAGGTTAATAGAGGCAGACTGTCTTAATTAAAATTAATTGGCTATGGACCCACTTAAAGAAAGGGAATCTAGATTCCTTGAAATGTGCTAATTATTACCATCAGCAGTGAATTTATTGTATACTTAGAAGTACTAGTTCTTCCCATTAATTTTGTTCTTTGACCTTGGCATCCACATTTTTATGCTTCCAAACATTCCTCTGTGTCAGCACTACTCTTGGATGTCCTGGTTTCTAAGAGGATTTTCCCTCATTTCTATGATTTATTTTTCTTCCATATTCTCTTCGAGTTCACAAAGCATACTGCTATGTAATAGAATACTCTTTTCTGCATTCCTGTCTTCCCAACCTCCCTACACTGATTTTAGCCTGGGTTTTCATTTCCCTGGAGAAATATACTTAGAAACTTGTCCATGTCTCTTGTTCTGTATGAATGATTCTTCTTGTTGTTGTTTTTTTTTTTTTTTTTTTAATATAGGATTGCAAAATAACTGAGCATTGGAAAGTTGTTTTCTTTAATACACAAATACATCTGAGGGAGCTTCAAAAAATTCAAGGAAAAATGGAATACAGTATAATGGAATTTTCCTACAAACTGTTTGAAGTCCCTCTCAAGTTGGTGGTGGTTTTTTGACATGTAGTCGGTTCTGACTCATAGTGACCCCTCATGGGGTTTCAGAGGCTATAAATCTTTATGGGAGCAAAAAGTCTCATGTCTTTCCCATGGAACAGCTGGAAGTTTTGAACTGCTGACCTTGAGGTTAGCAGTCCAACTTATAAACACTATGCTACCAGAGCTCCTTCCCTCTCATGCTACAATAAAATAATATCATTTCAAGCACTACAAACTAAAATCCAATCAATGAGCACACTAATGATCTGGGTTGTTTTACATTTAAATGGATACTTTGAGAATGTTAAATAAGATTATCAAGACCATGTTGATTATTATCACTGTAACATTAATTCACACAATAATTGCTTAGCCTGACTTATTGTTAAGTCTTAACATGACTTGTTGCTATGAATGAAAACTATCTCTATATTTCAAATACATGATTGAATTTCATAAATTTTGAATTAATAAGAGAAACAAGACATCATTTTTGTAGACTAAGGTTTACCATGTATCATTCAAAAGTAATATAGCTATTGGAATTTGAGCACACATGAATGGATAATGGTGAGTTTTGCTGTGTGTATAGATTAAATATGAACAAAGAATTTACAGTCTTTCAGCTATAACCACATACCTTTCTTTTCTTTTCTTTTTTAGCTGGTCAACTTTAGATCATTTATTTGAGGGGTGAGAAAGGGAACAGATTTATTTCTGTAGTTAAATAAAAATTTTTGATAGTTTAGACAGCCCATCTACATTTGGGACTCATAGATATGTAAATTATCTTGGCTGAAGAAATTGTAGTGGTTGCACATCACTAGTTATGAGAATCAGGGGGTGTGGGATGATGACATAGCAGAGTAGTCCTTAAGGTTTCAGTTCAAGCCAATAAAATGAACTCTTCAGCTGCTGTGCCCATTAGGAATGTTTCTTACAGCTCTAATGAGGATATTAATCAGAATGTCTTTTATCCAGATGACAGTACCAGCAATTACATTCCACAGGCTTTGTTGCTTATCTGTCCCATGAAGCAGGTATTACTTTTGATGCTCTCAATGCTGGCACTTTGCAGATCTCATTGATTTCTTCTGTCTCTTGGTGCATTTTTTATGTTGTAACTGCTTCTTTTGGAACCAGCTTCTGACCTGATCTGATGTCAAGTCCAGGATTCCTGCTAACGCTTGCGCCTGCCTGTCATTAATATCCCTGGTGTGTAGAAAATGGACCCACTCTGTGTCTAGGAGTGGCTTGCTTTTTAGGCACTGTCTCACTCTCCCATGCTGCGTGCTCTTCTGTGGTTAAATACTCTTTCTTGAGGTGCTATTATTTTTAGGCATCCAGTGGCACTTCTCAGAATTGCAGCAATGTGCTTTCATTCTTGGAAATCCACTAAGAGTATAGGGTTCAGAAGGAGCCCTGATATCTATCGCAAGTGGTTAAACACTTGACTCCTGACCGAAGGCAGGTGGTTTGAACCCAACAGCCACTCCGCTGGAGAGAGATGTAACAAGTCTGAGTCCTTAAAGATTACAGCATGCCCTAGGGTGGTTATTGTTGCTATTAAATGCCTTCGAGTGGGTTCTGACTCAGAGACGCTCTATAGGATTTCTAAGGAGCAGGTGATTCGTTTGAACCACTAACTTTACACTTAGCAACTCAGGGCTTAGCCTATAACATCATGCCAGAACTACGATGGTGGTGGTTATGTGCCGTGGAGTCGGGACAGACTCATAGCAACCCTGTGCAGGGTTTTCAAGGCTGGGAGCACAAAGCTTCATCTTTCTCCCGCGGCTCCTTGGACTATGATGGTACGAGCAATAATTCCTGATGCTTAGAAATTTAAGAAAAAAAAAAAATAGAAAAAACAAAATTAAGCAAATTATATGCCTATTGAATTAGAACTTAAATTCTAAGCATTTGATTTGCTAAAAGTTGGGGTTTACAGTGAAAGCTTTAACACCATTTTCAATCTTGACATAAATTCCGCTTCTATTTGAGTTCTGACCATTAACAATATAGCAGAGGCTATGTTCCCACCCACCCCCGGAGGAGGGTGTGCTTGAAAGTATATTAAAACTCTTGTAGCCACAACGTCCTGGTGTGGCATAGTGGGTTAATTAATGTGCTGGACTGCAAGCTCAGCTTAAACTGAAAGGTTGATGGTTCAAGCTCACCAGCTGCTCCTAGGAAACCCTATACAAGGTCACTATGAATTGGAACCAACTCAACGGCACTTAAGATACAAAGTCTATTTGAACTGCGAGGCCAGAGGTTCAAATTCACCAGCAGTTTCTTGGAAACCCTATACAGGGTCACTATGTAGCCAGATACTTTAGACAAGTAACATATTTTAACTCAGCTGACAAATAATTATTTTCTGTTATGACCAGTACTAACAAGTATTACTTATTTTTCTCAAGTTTGTTATATGAAAAATAAAAGCAATTATTCGTTAGTGGTTACGAATCGGGCTGCGAACCTTAAGGTCAGCAGTTTGAAACTACCAGACGCTCCACCGGAGAAAGATGAGGCTTTCTCCTCCCGTAAAGTTTTACAGCCTTGGAAATCCTGTACAGGGTCACTATGGGTCGGAACCAACTCAATGACACTTAACAACATGTGATTAAAAAATCCTCATAACTGGACCAATAAATACCATCATGATAAATGAAGAAAAGACTGAAGTTGTCAAAGACTTCATTTGGCTTGAATCCACAATGTTCTTGGAAGCAGCATTCAAGAAATCAAATGATGTCTTGCATTACACAAATCTGATGCAATTGACCTCTTTCAAGACATTAGTTTGAGGACTAAGGTGTGCTTGACCCAAGCCTTGGTATTTTCAACCTCATATGCATGTTAAAGTTGGACAGTGAATAAGGAGAAACAGAGAAGAATC